GATCAGTGGGACCCTCCAGGAGTTGCACAAACAGTTGTGCATCCCTGTTTTAGAACATCTTACCACATGGGAAGATTCTGCTGTGGACGCTCAGCAACACCTTGCAAATGTCAAAGTATTATTACAAGCCTTCACAATTGTTTGCAGAACTGGAATATTTCTAGAGCAATATTTGGTGCCAACAACGATAAGCACCAGATTTGGATAAAGTAATAAGGGGTGGGTTTTTTTTGGCTCTATAATTAGTCCTAATGACTAGCCTTAATGATGAGGCCAGATGGTTAGATCATTAATGTAAAAAGCACAGCTATAATAGCTGGAAGTTGAGCCAAGAAGCTGACTTACTTTTGTGTTGATTTGAAATTTTGTTGCTTATCCAAGTCGCTTCTTCTGTCCGAACAAAGTTGGTTAGGGGAATAGGCAGAGAGTTGTTGGAATGTGCCAACTCTTAAAATTATTGTTGTGAGTTATTGACTCAATAACATGCAACAACAAGAAAATAAGCCCAGTTGCATGACTCAACTTCCAGATCATTCTTATTGCTGGATTAAGAATCATCAATGGTGTAACTAGAATACTTCATTCTTTAGAAGTATTCTACATTCTTAGAAGTCGTTTCCCTTCTAAGTGGTACAACTGTTTTTATGAACAGGGTGTGATAGAAGGAAGGAGATTGGTTATCACACTAGAGGGTGGGATTGTGCAGTTGTGGCTACTACGTGGACTTTTGGACACCTTAAAGGATGAAGGGAAGGAAGAAAAACACAGTTGTTGGCACAACTTGAGAGCATATTTAATATTCCATTCTACAAGCAGAGTATTGTGCATTGCGGCAGTTCCGTACAATGAATTGTTTATATACTTCACTTACCGTCACACAGGATTTCGGCTTCATTCTGATGTTGGGGGGGAATTTAAAAATGGCCGCTGGGTGGCCGTTAATGTTCTGCTGAAGTGTATAATCTCCAATGCTTTCTTCTTTGTCAGAGGAACTATTAATTATCTTCACATAATGGCCACTGAAATGAACTTCAGTAATTTTAAGGTTCCCAACACTATTAAAAAATATATAGAACAAAACTTAGTTAGAAGACCCAGTCTTGTTGGGATCATATTCTTTTCTTTTAGCAACCCTATTAATCCTTTGCATCAGGGTGGAGTCAGGATGACTGAATGGATCTGAGAGTTTGCTGGCTGGATGCCCTTCCTGACGCCTAGGCAATGTTCACAGCAGACAATTACTCATTGCACCAGGAGAGAGAAATAATTCGATACCTAGTATTGAACTCGCAGCCTCCTGATTGTGAGGCGAGAGCTCCACCTCTAGGCCACCATGCCACTCATTGGGATTATCTATTGTTATTAGTTGCGACGTCGTGTCTGACCCATCGTGACCCCATGGACAACGTTCCTCCAGGCCTTCCTGTCCTCTATCATCTTCTGGAGTCCATTTAAGCTCACGCCTACTGCTTCAGTGACTCCATCCAGCCCCCTCATTCTCTGTCGTCCCCTTCTTCTATTGCCCTCCATCTTTCCCAGCATCAGGCTCTTCTCCAGTGAGTCCTTCCTTCTCATTAGGTGGCCAAAGTACTTGAGTTTCAACTTCAGGATCTGGCCTTCTAAGGATAGAAAAACCAAATCTGGTGGCTATCCAGATTTTCGCAGTTCAAACTTGGGAACTCTAGTCTTACCCTCAAAGGATTTTCAACTGAGTAGGTATCTCATTCACATTGCGCTTTTACCTCACAACAAAGCTTGGGAGAAACATCAGTCCTGAAATGAGACATCTGAATTCTTAAACTTTCTCTGCCATTTCTCCCAGCTCTCTGATTTTCATGGTTTTCCTCTGTATTTTTCCCAGATCATATTGTCGAAATAAGTGGGATTACTCAGATATTTTTGTTTTTAAACAAGAGCAGTATTTCAAAACTACCTGGATGACGATGAACTGTAATACTCAGCTGGAATTAGGGACCGTCCTGTTTTCTCCATTAGTTCACCACTGCTCTTCCTAGTGCCAACAAATAACGTTCTCATATAGTCCTGACCTTTTCCAAGTTCTTCGTTATCAAAGGTGTCAGAGCAGGAAAGGTATTGTTGTGGTAAAGTGCTGCTGTTGTTGGGAGAAGCTAAACCAAAATGAATGAATGAATGAATGAATGAATGACAACTAACCAAGGAAAGAAGCAATCTAGAACTAAAGAGAAATTTCCTGACAGTGAGAACAATTAATCAGTGGAACAGCTTGCTTTCAGAAGTTGTGGGTGCTCCAACGCTTTTAAGAGGAGATTGGTCAACCATTTGTCTGAAATGGTATAGGGTTTCCTGCCTGAGCAGAGGGTTGGACTAGATGACCTCCAAGGTCCCTTCCAGCTCTATTCTGATTCTGAAACTTTGGAAAGGCAAAGTAGCTCTGTTTTGAGCTTAAAATGGGATCATCCAAATAGGTTCTTTCAAAGCCGAAAATGGATGGAAACTAATCAAGGAGAGGACCAACCTAGAACTAAGGGAATTTTTCCTGATAGTGTGAACAATCAACCAGTGGAACAGCTTGCCTCTAGAAGTTGTGGGTGCTCCATCACTGGAAGTTTTTAAGAAGAGACATTTGTCTGGAATGGTAAAGGGTCTCCTGCTTGAGCAGGGGGTTGGACTAGAATGAAGACTCAGGGATTAAAACAATTATTTAAAAAAAAAATAAAAAAGAGAAGGTAACTTATTTGAAATGATTATGGGGGGAAAATGCCTCGATCTTCTCTTCCTTTTGCTGCCCACATTAAAGTGGAATGCATTTTTTCAGCAAAAGTTATGGCTATAAAACGAGGCATTGCTAAAGTGAATGATTTCCTAGTGACCTTCTGATTTATTACCTTGCTGGAATTACCTTCAGTGGGTCATCATAAGAACCGCCAGTGAAATAGCTGTTACTCTGGATGTTTGGATAATGTATTTTCAACCAGGAGCCACTAATGATTTTCTCCAAAAAAGGTTTTCCACCTACAGGAGATACTATTACTGTATATCCTGAGAGAAGTCCTAATTTTTCCCTCCTGTTCATACTTTAGTAACAATCAGGGGCTGCATCTGTCTAGGACAGGGGTAGGCAACCTTGGCTCTTTTATGACTCGTGGACTTCAACTCCCAGAATTCCTGAGCCAGCATGGGGGAACTTTGGCCCCGTCATGACTTGTGGACTTCAACTCCCAGAATTCCTGAGCCAGCATGGCTCAGCTTGGAAACCTCTCCCTTTCCCCTCAGAATGGCTGTCTCAGGAATTCTGGGAGTTGAAGTCCACGAGTCATAAAAGAGCCGAGGTTGCCTACCCCTGGTCTAGGAGATATGTCCAGTCCAAAGAACAATTGGTTGCAGACACCCAGAAGAGAGATGTTTATGGAGATTCTCAGTCATCCAAATCATGGTTGTCCCCAAGGTGCTTTTTCAAAGGGCAACTGGACTCTCTTTATTTTTTTTTCTTGAAGACATTTCACTTCTCATCCAAGAAGCTTCTTCAGTTCTGAATTGAAAAAGCTTCTTGAGTGAGAAGCGAAACATTTTCAAGGAAAAACAAAACAAAAAAACAAAAAAGTCCAGGTGTCTTTTGAAAAAGCATGTCTGGGACACCAAGAAGAGAGCCAGTTTGGTGTAGGGGTGAATGAACCACACTAAAAACCAGGAGACAGTAAGTTCTAGTCTTCTCTTAAGCACAAAGCCAAACTGGGCGACCTTGGGCCAATCCCTTTCTCTCAGCCCTAGGAAAGAGGCAATGGCAAACCACTTCTCTAGATTTTGCCAAGAAAACTGCTGGGATTAGTCCTGGTAGTCAGCAGGAATAAACACTGACTTGAAGGCTAAACAACAACAACAACAACCCCACAAACCATCTAGATCAGGGGTCTTCAAACTTGGCCCTTTTATGACTTGTGGACTTCAACTCCCAGAATTCCTCAGCCAGTGTGCCTGGCTGAGGAATTCTGGGAGTTGAAGTCCACAAGTCATAAAAGGGCCAAGTGTGAAGACCTCTGATCTAGATGTTGGAGTCTTTGAAGAAGTTCTAGCTTGATGCCTTAACCATGACACCAAACTGGCTCTCTCCATCTGTATTTAATCACCTGATTTTTAAAAAAATATTTCCTTTAATTCTTTAATTCAATTCTTCCAGTTTTCATTGATCATTTTAGCTGATGTTAATGGGAATTGACCAGGAGCTGAGTTGGGCAAAACTGGGGAAATGATTGGCCTAAAAAAAAGTGTTGTTGTTGTTTTTTTTTTAAAAAAAACCTTCCTGTTCTTAGATGTGGACTTACTTAAAGATTTGTTCACTGTCACAAGAGAAGATACAGGGAACCGGACTGTCCTAGATGAAGATCTCCCACGAAGAAGAGTGACTGTTGACGTGGACTCTGTGAACTGGGAAAATACGACTTTCTCGGAAGGCTTGGCTGTGATGCTGGTTTTAGACTCTGAAATATGCTGGAAATGGACTGGAGCGGCGGGCAACTGATAGAGTGCTGGCTCAGTTCTGTAATGGACATTGAAAACCAGCCTGTCATGCATAAGCCATCAGATCCATACACGAAGAATTCAGTTAGCTACTTTATTGCTTAAGCCCATAAGACAGGAATCTTCCCAGACTGACAATATGCACCAGGGTGAAACTAGATCAGATTCAATGGAATTCAAGGGGAGTGAAACTTTGCCCTCTTGTGCCCACATAATTTTGGGAAGAGAAGGAGGAGGAGGAGGAGGAGGAGGAGGAGATATGTTAAATGTTACATGTTAAATGTTACATTTAATTGATTAGTTTCCCCCTCCTTTTTTGTACAATATTTCTTTCTTTCTTTCTTTCTTTCTTTCTTTCTTTCTTTCTTTCTTTCTTTCTTTCTTTCTTTCTTTCTTTCTTTCTTTCTTTCTTCCTCCTCCCTCCCTCCCTCCCTCCCTCTTTCTTTCTTTCTTTCTTTCTTTTTTTCTTCCTCCCTCCCTCCCTCTTTCTTTCTTTCTTTCTTTCTTTCTTTCTTTCTTTCTTTCTTTCTTTCTTTTTTTCTTTTGGATAGAGTTGAATGTATGTTTTTGTTTTGTTATTGGAGATTGTTAAGAAGAGACTTGACATTCACCTGTCTGAGATGGTATAGGTTCTCCTGCTTGAGCTGGACTAGAAGACCTCCGAGGTCCCTTCCAGCTCCTGTTCTATTCTATTCTATTCTTTTCTATTCTATTCTATTCTATTCTATTCTATTCTATTCTATTCTATTCTATTCTATTCAACATTCTATTCTATTCTATTCAACATTCTATTCTATTCTGTTCTGTTCTGTTCTATTCTATTCAACATTCTATTCTATTCTATTCCTTATTCTATTCTATTCTATTCTATTCTATTCTATTCTATTCTATTCTATTCTATTCTATTCTATTCTATTCCTTATTCTATTCTATTCTATTCTATTCTGTTCTATTCTATTCAACATTCTATTCTATTCTATTCTATTCTATTCTATTCAACATTCTATTCTATTCTGTTCTGTTCTATTCTATTCAACATTCTATTCTATTCTATTCTATTCTATTCTATTCTATTCTATTCTATTCTATTCTATTCTATTCTATTCTGCTGTTCTGTTCCATTCTATTCTCTTCTATATTTTGTTTGTTTGTTTTTCTGTTCTGTATTTTATTATCTATGATAAAACAATAAACATATAAAAAAGATGCTGTGGTGTGGTTACCCAGGGAAACCGGAGCAAGTTTACATAAGGCAGGAAAATAAGTGGAGAGTTTCCAGTTAAGTGAATAACCTACCCTTTAATATAGCCAAGTGTATTTTTCAGAGAAGCAATTTCCTCTTGCAGGCAAGTGTTCTTTTCCTGAATAGCTTCCACGGCTTTTAACTTGGAGAGAAGATGGTCTTGTATTTCCTTAAAAAAATTGGAAAGAAAAAGGCAGGGAAAAACAGAAGAAAAGGTTTGACAAGTTGAACGCTTATGTGGTTTTTTGTTTTTTGTTTTAAAACTGTTTTGACCCAATGTTCCTTTTTTCCTGGTCTCAAATAATGTCATTAACCCCACACGAAAAGGAAGACAACCCAGATTTTGTCATCTTGTTTTTTAACACAAGTGTCGTGCCAGCGTAAATCCTAAACTGGGCTGTCTGTTTATTATCTATCTATCTATCTATCTATCTATCTATCTATCTATCTATCTATCTATCTATCTATCTATCTATCTATCTATCTATCTATCTATCTATCTATCTATCTATCTATCTATCATCTATTTCTATCTATATTTCTATCATCTATTTCTATCTATCTATATTTCTATCATCTCTCTCTGTCTCTCTCTCTCTCTGTCTCTCTCTCTCTCTCTCTCACACACACACACACACAGAGCTTTTTATTATCACACTCTACAGCTTTACCTGTTCTATCTATCTATCTATCTATCTATCTATCTATCTATCTATCTATCTATCTATCTATCTATCTATCTATCTATCTATCTATCTATGTCTATCTGATATGAAAATATTGCAATAATAGTCTATCTTCGTACCATAGCTATGGCTATATCCTATTAAGCATGTACCAATCAATCTGTCTTTGGGAGAAAAAGGCACTAATAGAATCCTTTCACCAGTAATTTACCTTTTGCCAATAACTCAACATTCATTTGGCATGGTGATCAACACTGGATTTACCGAGCCTTGTGACTGCAAAACACATGTGTTTTAATATTTTTTTAAAAGGTTAATTGCTTCTGAGGGACTCATTCATCTTCTCAGTGTGCCTGGCTTCACAAAACAAAGTCTTTTCAAGCAGAAGTTAAACAATCGTAGGTCTAAGATGTTTTAATATGAATTCCTATACCCAGAGGAGAATATAGGGACAGATTTCTAACTTTCTAAGATTATGGATTTCTTCTAACGCTGGCTGGCTGGAGAATTCTGGAAGTTGAAGTCCACCCATCTTAAAGTTGCTAAGGTTGAGAAACACTGCTCTAATTTTGACACCCAACACTGTAATGGTTAGGAAGTCATTTATTTTGCTCTAGGTTCACACAACCAACTAGGCTAGACTAAACGGGATTGGATAGTTTATAATTTCCGCATATAGGAACACACCCACGGTTTCAGCCTATTGTGTGAACCACACCGTCACGTAATACGTTTTTTTAAAATGTTTGGGCATAGCTTAGTATGTTAACAGAGCAATTCTATATTGTTAACATGAGTTAAGAGGTAAATATGTATGTGTGAACACCACCATGATTACCTAGGAAATTATGTCCAAGGTCATGAGGTCCACCATCACCACTCAGTATCCAGTGACATCTGGTTAAGAAATAATTAAAGGTGTTTCTACAAATTGCAAGTATATCGAGACAAGCCCAATCTTAGCAGCAAGATTGATTTTTTTTTATTTATTTAGCCTATGGCAAATGCAAAATTATTCTTCATTTGTACTGACAAGAAAAAAAATATTGTAAATGCACTGTTCTTTGGTTTTTAGTGAACATAAACAGTGCAATCGCACTGGTGATAGATAACATTATCCGTGGAACAATCATTCTTGAGCCCAAGAGCTACAAAATCAGATTTGACCACAAAAAAAAGGAGTGATGGTTCACCAAAAGTTCCTTGATGATCTCATGCATTGAAGGGGGATAAAGATGCTTTATCACATGCATGTAATAAGCTCACCAATACAAGAATGTCAGTCACAGCTATTGCATAAATGACCTCTGTTCATAAGACAGTTATTTATCTCTATTTTCTGCAGTTCTTCTGCCACCCAAGTTTACAGTTGCCTCCAACTAGGAAAGTGTCTCATATCTTTGGCCCAGTAATCATCTTTGAAATGTTGAGGGCCACCATCACAAAATGTCTACCAAGGAATTCTTTGCCCATTGATAAAATAATTAGCTTGTTAATTATTGTCCACTTCCACCCATCTTAAAATGGCCAAGGTTGAGAAACACCAATCAGTCAGAATAGCAATAAATCAGAATATGAAAATTATTATTTTTTATATCAGGATAGAGCTGGAAGGACCCTGGAGATTTTCTAGTCCAACCCCTTGCTTAAGCAGGAGACCCTATACCATTTCAGACAAATGGCTGTCTGGTCTTTTCTTAAAAACCTCCAGTGATGGAGCACCCACAACTTCTGGAGGCAAGTAGTTCCACTGATTAATTGTTATCTCCGTTTCAGAAATTCCTCTTTAGTTCTAGGCTGGTTCTCTCCTTGGTTAGTTTCTATCCATTATTTCTTGTCCTGCCTTCAGGTGCTTTGGAAAATAGGTTGACACCCCCCCCCTCTTCTTTGTGGCAGCCCCTCAAATATTGAAACACTGCTATCATTCTTTTCTCTAGACCAGCCATACCCAATTCCTGCAAACCGTTCTTCACATGTTTTAGTCTTCAGGCCCTTATTCATCTTAGTTGCTCTTCTCTGCACTTGTTCCAAAGTCTCAACATCTTTTTTTTGTAATGTGGTGACCAAAACCATCCCGACTCATGTAAAAAAGCTGTTATATTCTTAGATAATGCACAGAATAATCCAACAGGAAGCATTTAGGATTCATGCAATAGCTATCTCAAGTTCCAGTCTATGGAAGAAGTATCGACGTATAATTTGTGAAGCTTTCTTAGTTTTGGACAGAGTAGTGCTCTCTCTGCCATGGAAAATTGAAAACATTCAAATAACAGCTAGAACAATGGATAGAAAGTGATGTTTTCCTTTGCCATCAACAGAGCAGACAGTGTACTGGGACTACAAATATCTTTCAAGGGTGTGTCCAATGTTTTTGGCATATTGTTTGATTTTTGCTCTGTAAAGTTGGTGGGTGGTATTTCTCGTTTGGAATTTTATAGCTTTCAGGGGGGGGGGGCTGCATCTCAGGGACTCTGTTCCATAAGATATAAAACAAAAGGAAGGGAAAGAAATGAATGAAAATTAAACTGTTTTCATGTGTGTTTTGTTGTCAGGAAGAACTGGCTGCAGGTCACCAAGGCAAGGACAGCTATGAGCACCATAAAAACGCAGGATACAAATAGTTAAAAAAAACATTTGCAGAGAAGTGAGTCAGCAGGGATTAAAGGAAACACCCAATGTAGATCCCAACCAATGTACAGCTAGCCCTTGACTTACAACAGTTCATTTAGTGAGCGTTCAAAGTTACAACAGCCACTGGAAAAAGTGACTTGTGACCATTTTTCACACTTATGACCATTGCGGTATCTCGGTGGTCACGGGATTAAAATTCAGACACTTAGCAACTGACTCATATTTATGATGGTTGCAGTGTCCCAGGGTCACGACCTTCTGACAAACAAAGTCAATGGGGAAGCCAGGTTCACTTAACAACTGTGTAACTACTGCCACGATTCACTTAACAAC